GGCCCCCCCCCCCCCCCGCTCCTTTTACTCACTCCAATGGCTGGCTCATACCACCAGAACAGCAGCCATGCCAGACCACCAAAACTCATATGCCACAATATTCTTCCTATAATGTAGGCTAAGTAATGATGGGTTTGTAGATGTAACCTGTAAGGGCCACTGGTTATTTTTTTAACCATATTACAACTAAGAATGCACTGCAATATTAGGACTATGGAATGATCCTGATACAAAGGAAAAAAGGTGTTTTCAAGACAGGGACACTGAAGCTGTACCTGGCGGCAACTCTTTTTAAAGAAGTGGTATCATTTGCTGGGCTTGTGCAGCTCCTGCTCATGATCCCAGGAAAAGGTTTAATTTAAGCAGGTTTCAGCAGGTATAATCTGAGTGACCCTATACGTCTGAATCATCTTTTCCCCTTTGAATCTGATCACTGTACATTCCTAATAATTACTGATATTGGATGCAATAGACAGTATTTTTCAGATTTGTTCAAGATGATGATTAGATTTTTATCCTGCCTTTTTTATATATAACTCAAGGTGGCAAAGAAACTTAATATTCCTGCCTCCTATTCCCCAACAACAACCCTGTGAGGTGGGTTGGGCTGAAAGAGAGTGACTGGCCCAAAGTCACCCAGATGGCCTTCATGCCTAAGGGTGGCCTAGAACTCAGAGTCTCCCAGTTTCTAGGCCAGCACCTTCACCACTATATAAAACTGGCTAGATCTTAACAGCTGTACAAGGTTATTTTACTTATATTTTTCCTCCCACCCAGGGGAATAACTTTTACTTTAGATACTGTAACTATAAGAGGCAATACGTGAGCAAAGCAACTACTAAAAAATTGCCCATTTTTAATGTAAAAATATGTTTACTTGAGCAGGATGCATCAAAATGATGAGAGAGTCTGTGCTCACTTTCATATGGCAGAACAGCAGGAACACCTACATACTGTATAGAGAGAATCAGGTACCAAATAGGCTCTGCTTGGATAAAATCAAAACTTACTCACATTAATGTCTCTCTCATGAATTTCATCCACTATGACATGACTGATTCCACGAATGCCAGCTTCCAGCTTTCTCAGGAGGACGCCTTAAAAAATAAGTCTATATCAGTGAGGATGAATTAATTAGGACAAATGATTCCTTTACTGAACAGGTTAGGGAAGGCAATGCAATGCAACGTGTATAGTCGCTAGCTGTGAACACATCATGCAAATCCATTTAAAATCATGGTTTGTTAAACTAGGCAGATACCAGCCAGATTCAGTCATACAGGCAAGCAAAGTAATCATGCTGTGTTCTACCAGCTCATTTATCTTCCCTCTTTCTTTTTATCAGCTCTTACCCTGCACCATGGAACACTGGTAAGAGAAAACCAATTTACAACCCAGGAACTAAATAAAAACCTTTCTAAATCTCATCCTTGATTTCAATTCATTATGGGAAATAACAAGAAATGGTAGAAACAAAACATCCAACAACTACTTCAAAATGCTATTATAGATCTGGCAGTTATTTACTGTCTAGAGGAGCCCAGCCCAACACACAAGAAATGCTTTTATTTTCAACCATTTCTAAACGGACAATTGGAAGCACGCAGAACAAAGGTTTACAGCTTCAGCCATTTCATGTTTCCCGTGAGAAATATGGGAAGAGATTCTCTATTTTTGTCAAATTCTGTTAACCATTCTATACATTTTAAGATAACAAGCAACACTCACCTACAGTGCAGAACATCACACTGGCATGGGGCCGGGGAAGCACTGATTCAAAGCGAACACTATAGCCACAACTATTTCCAGGTTCTTCTCCTCTTTCATAAGAAACTCTTTCTGCTACAGAGACAGCACTGATCCTCCTAGGCTGTGTAGAAAAGATATCACAGTTTAAGTAGGAAGCCCACATCACCTCACCAAAAGGAACAAGCCCATCAAGAAAAATCACAGCACTGAATCAAGGCACACAAACAATTTTTCTCAAGTGAGATTTTTATAGAAGTTTTGAGAGTTTGAAATTCAAATACAGCATGCTGGGAATCTAATTATTTGCAGTCAAGTTTTATCTGTACGAATAAAGGATGCTGAAACATTCATACTGGTAATTCACAACATGAAATATTGCTCCAGGTACAGTCTTTACAAATAAGTAAGTTTGTCCCAACTTTATTTGGGAGATATATTTGGATCTAGAGATGTGCAGCACTTTAGATCAAAAACAAAAAATGCTGCAGACTGATTACCGTATGAATCCAAGAAAAAATGCAGTATCTTTCAGGAGGGGCCAACAGGCATGATGTGTAACTCATGTCTGCTACAAAGCACCTTTTCAGCTTTGGATATGAAAGCACTACACATCCCTATCTGAAACTAGTTCCAATGGCATTAATGACAAATAGTAGATTAATTAGAAATATTGCCTTGGATAGGTTTTTTACCTGAGTGACAACAATATTACATTCTGCAGCTCTTCCACTGTGGATACATTCATCCAAGATGTACTGTGGAACCTGTGTGGTTTTGCCACAACCTGTAGCCCCACGGATGATCACAACAGAATTTTGATGTATGGCATCTAGAATTTTTCGCTCAAAGTTCTTCACAGGCAAGGTGTCCCTCTCTTGAAGAATCTAAGACAGGAAACAATTCACTATCAGTACTATGCAATTTTTTTTTTTTTTATATAAATTTTTTATTTTTTACAACAAACACAAACAAACAATAGC